CTCGTTTGAAGGGCGGTGGTTATGTATCCGGTTCCTTCCCCCTGCGTGGCCCGGTGGAAGCCGTTTGTCAAGAATACAGCGAAGGTGACTGTAGGGACACCGGCGGGTCGTCTGGCCTGTACGACCCCCCTCCCCCTGCGCTCCTTTTTGCAACTTACGCATTCGTGCTATCTTTTTATATCAACTTTAATTATGGCCCAATACCAACAGCTTTTCCAAGTTGGCTCCCGCTATTATGTAGCAATAAAAAGCCACAAAGCTTCAGGCAACCGCCCCCAATTTGCTTTTGTGCAGATTTTATCCCTTTATTTATTCCATTAATATCAGAAATTCATAAAAGATAAGTAATCTCCCCAATAATGTAATCAAAATATTTAAAAGACAGTAAGGAAAATATTAGATTAGTCTACATGGGTGACAGTAACTTCTGTGTTAGTTAAAAATAATCTGTTCACCAGTAATGTATTTATCATTATCTGCTATCGCTATAAGTCGATTTCTTCATCCTTTAAAAGTGACTACAAGGATCTTTCATTTTGTGTAAATTTGGCGGCCTCAGTACATAATAATGGTAGAGTTTTTAAGAGTGTAGTAAGCCTGCTCCATGGCACGGAGCTCTCCGTCTCCCGCCTAACCTTCGACTGAGTTTCTGATGAACCTGAGGGCCCGATAGAAGGATATAATCCAAGAACAAGCATTACGAATGATTATGGTCTCGTTTTCTTAAATAGCTCATAGACAGAGACAGTTTTGAACTGAGACCGTTTCAAAACCTGTTAAAAGCTCCAATGGACCCCAGTTCTACTGTTTTTACCAACTTAAGCAACTTGTGTCTGACAAGGAGACAGATGTAAAGAATTTCATAAAGTATTAGGTAAATTTGAATCTGTTCCACTTCGCAACAATGAAACTTTGTTTGTTATTTACTCCTCTTTTCCCGATAAAAGTCTATGGTTGAATATTTAACTTGACAGACTGACAAAATGAATCTTAATGTTGAGGAGCCCCTAGGTTATTGTTGAAGTAAATCTTTCAAGTTCCAAAGTTACAGACTAAAACCCTTCACTTTCAACCCTATTAACTCTAGATTATAGATACAGTCCAAGAACACCAACATCTGCACTCCATCAAGCATTTAAATTGGGCCAAAGTAGTCAACTACAGGGGATGTACTAAGCTTCCATACAATGCAACTAACAAGGCCAACAAACATTACCCCGCGGACAGGAAGTACTTTGCAACTGGCAAAAAGCAAGGGGCGAAAAGAAAAGAAAAAGCTAAATTCTGACAAACTCTGCAAAACAAGTCTCTAACCAGCCATCAGTAACGAGTGGAGGAATAGGTTTAATCACCGGAGTCCTTTGTTGGGTCCATTCTCATTGCATCGCACTGGGAGAGCTATTGATTCCAGGTCGTCTCCTGCCTCATTAAAACCGTGGCAGAGCTCTTCCCGCAGGTAAGAGCGTCGATCAATAAATGACTCAACTATACAATTTCAAATTTTGTGTTGGGGTGGAAGTGGAACGACTAGATGCCCAGACATGTGGAAAAGTTATTGTTCTGCCTTTACAGTTTCCCGTGACACAACATGCCGGGCCATCTTTGAAGCCCCGGATACTGACGGAGCAACATTTGCATCGCACTGTAGGTAATGGCATCATTATAGTCATCAGCGCATGCTCATCGACATTGGTACATCCTTTACTGAGAACCAGCCAGAAAAAGGATACAATTGATGATTCGTCTGAAAATGAGCCCTAGCTGCACGTGACTGGATACTTGTGTGACAAACTGAAAGCAAAGGAAATTTTAGAAGTGGCACAGTGGCAAACTGACTGAATAAGTAACATATTTCCATTTGAATGCACTATATTGAGATATCTTTATTTATTATTTTACTTTTTATCTTAGAAAATTTCAAGAAACTAGATTATTTATTAATTTCCCGTATTTGCCATATAGAACCTTTATGTCTCTAGAAAGGAACTCAACGTAATCCCTGGGATCTCTGGAGGAAATGAGGAAAACCGATAGCTATAGGCCTCCATTGCCTGCACATTATGATAGATGGAGGGTTGGCAGCCGGTTTCTATGGGAGAATCTGGAAATCTTGAATTCTAGCCCCTTCAGAAGCGGGCTTTATATGTGCTGACAGGTGATCATTCAAACACAGTCGAGCAGCTGGCTCCAGCCCTGCACCTTACGTGTTTTTATGTGCCAATGTGTGTGCTGACAAAAACTAAATGGTCATGAATAAATACCGTCCATAAGGTGTTGCTGTGAAAATAATTATATATAAAGTATTTCATTACACAGCCATATTTCTATGGCGTTTAATTTGAGTACTTTCTGTACTTATTTGGTTTAATTTGCGTGACTCTTTGTTTTCGACTCATGAAAAGTATTTGGTATTTGAAAGTATTTAATCACTTCAATACAAACAGCTTCATGTGGAGATGTGTGGAAACTTTTGTTTGCTTTTAACACACGAGTGAAGAGTTGAATATTTTTTACTTAGGCTAATCACTCTCCATTTCCTCGTCTTTTGGGAGAGTCCAGAACATTGGGATACACCTACCAAAAGGCTTGAAAGTTGAACCCGCTTTCCACAAAAATCCGCAAAATAACTACATTACAGTTTGGGTTTCCTTACACAAAAAGTGAATGAAAATGTAATTTAATTTAAACGTCAAGCATGTACAATAGTTATTCTAGCCCAGAGTCCCCAGTGTGCCAATAAAATCATTATGGCATAATGTTTGTATTTCCGTGTCTCCCATAGCATCATATCAGGCCACACCGCCCAAAAAAGGAATTGTAAATGTTTTTTTACATTTCGCGCAGGAAGTTCCGCCATGACTTGTGCGCGCATGTTTCTGTGTATGGCACCTGCAGCCGACAGAGAGCATCATCAGACAGGCTACTAATGCCACCATCCCCCTTTCGGCCGAACCGTTCACCTGACCCCCTCCTCCCTAAAGTTGAAAACCCAGGGGAAACACTGTAATTGAGCTGGGTTCCTAGTCCTGCACATCAATGCAATACTATCAGCAAAATGGGCCTTTGTAAATACACCTTTTTCCAAAAGTTTATTAGTTACCTACACTACACCTAATCCATGATCCGTGATTTAAGAATTCAATTTTATGCAGAACAAATGCAAACAATATCACAAACATCATCAATTATGAGTTACAAGGCTCGACCACAGGAAGCAACATTCCGAAATGACATGGTCAACAAAGTTTTAATAGGCGATTTAGGCATCGCCCTCCGTTTGATGTATGGTTTTTGGTGAGTATTTGCGTCGGTTACTCCAGCGGTCTTATTTTGGTGATATTTTAGAGTGGAATTGTCACTTCATTTCAGAACAAGCCTATAAAGCAGCGAAGGAGCTGACGCGTGGGAAGAGATATGAGAGGCAGGATTAATCATGTGCCACAGAACGTGTATTAGGAGGGACGTAGCTCAGCTAAGCTGGAGGGAAGAGGGGAGGGAGAGAGCGGCAACATTGATGGAAAAGCCCGGTGAGAATTTACTGCTCAGCCTACCTACGCTCCATTCCACCCTAATCAAGCCAAGGCTGGTACTAAACTAACAGCATGCGCCATGTGAGACAGCAGCGGGTCTCATCAGCAGGAAGGGTAAACAGAGCAAAGTGAGAGGCCAAGGTTGAAAAGTACAGTCACCTACTGCCGACTAACCAGGGACCGCCTTCAATCTGAAACACAGGCAGTGTTTGCATTAAAATGGACAAAAACTGCATTTAGGGCTTAATCAGAAGAGTGAAGCTGATGCAGAAATCACTAACTTGCATTTCCTCTTCTCACTACCAGGGGTGACTCCTCCAGTTGCCAAAATATCATTTGATCTATTCACAACATTTTAAACTGACTCAAATACATCAAGAAGTACAGTGCACTTTTTTGTGGGCTTACGATAACTGACATGCAGCTGCCACTACCGAGGTCGTATCCAGCAGGTCACCTTTCCACTTTACAAACATGCTGAATTCAGTTCCTCTGTTTTCAAGAAAACAACATGTAGATGGGGAGGCCAAGCCACAAACCAATGGGTGACATCACAATGTACATGACCACTTCTTACAAACAGTCTAATGCTTAAATATTAGTCCATCTATATTTTTTAGATAACACATGTATAGCACTAATTCCTTGCTCTGTAATAATACATACAAGGGGGACTTGTATGTAAACTGTAAGACTCAACTCATTAATGAGGCATGAAGCATTACAAAATGGAAATGTGGGAACTCTGCAAACTGGTTTACATCCGTGTCTATTCAAAATGTTATTGCTTCATAATTGTTAACGCATGAGATGTTTGTATGAAATTCTCATTTTTAGCATTTGAATTGTTGGTTTAAATAATCTCACAGTAAGCTTTTTGCAACGTGACTAATTGTCCCAATAATTGTATTTCTTGCCTTTGCAACAGATATCTTCCTGTCTATCCTGTTCACGGACCGCAACACTTTATTTGTCAATCATATAGTTATTATATCATAAAGAAATTATAAGAAAACGTACGAAAATCCATGAATTGGCCATCCAAAAATATCATGTAGTTTGCTGCAGCGGAAGGCCAGATTAGCCGTGGACAGACACGAAGCTGCGCATTTATTCATGCATATCATAGTCGCATTATCCTCCAGGCAGAGATAATAAAGAGCAATTATGATTCAACAGGACACAACCGCTGCCATGAACCTCATGTTGTGCAATAAACTGCAACAACAGAATTCAGGTTTCGAACATGTCATGTCATACCAAAAAACCTGCACTAAAATAAAAGCGGGTATTTACATCCCGTCATGGGAAGCCCTATTTTGTAGATTAAAAAATATATATATATATATATATATATAGTTGACAATAAACTATAATGTAGAAACTATCCACATGGAAGATGCGTTTGTTTAGCTCCTCAGCCAGAGTGAGGGATGCAGTATTGTGTGAGTAATAGGTGACAATACATACCCTCTATTCCCCATGACTGCCAGAAGTGGCGATTTGCACCCGAAAACTCCTTTATGCACAAACGCAGATCCAGTATCTAAAACACAGAGGGGGATATTTAGACGAATGCAAATGGTAAAGGAGATCGGTGAAGAGTAGAGAAACAGAGAAGAAACACATTTTTATTTATAAGTCGTCACATTATGGAAATGTTTGAACAATTTTTCAGCTCCCAGCACGGTTATAAAAAGGCTTATCTACTTTCTGCTTTGCGTGATAAATGGGATGCAGCGCCTCATATCCAGTTCGGAAGTTAAAAATATTCCCAAAGATGAGAATAAAACACAACTCGTCGGTGTAAAGTTGCTTCTACGTTCAGTTAATTAAAAAAGGCCCAGTGAGTGAGTTGAGAGTTAGGGAACTGATCGCATCAGTGTGAAGTGCTCGGAGCTGTGGAGCACTGCGCTGGTGACCGGGGTCTATTATGCTAAAAATGGGAACACTAATGTTAGAGTATTGCAAACACTGTGCACTTCGGCGCCTGAACCAGCTTATAGGCACGGAAGACATGGGTATGTGTGGACAATAAGGCCAGGAAATGCAGATGTTTGAGGTCAGGGTGTCATGGCATGACCACCAGAGAAGACGAATGGCCATTTGCTAAGCACCGGCCCCCCCGTTGTTACCCCATCAAGATATAAGAGCTACCATGGAGCCCACACATGCTTTGGATGATTTTATGTCAAAACTGAAAGCAGGTTACAATGGTGAAGATAGAAACTCAAGCCAGCAGATCAGTGTAACCATTGCAGACCAAAGACACTTAGAAGCTTAATCAATTAAGCAGTCAATGGAAAGTGACGACTAGTGAATGGAGTAACCTCCTCATCAGTACACAGACAATGGAACACATCAATATAAGACAATCATCTGGCTTTTAAAAGGAGAACGCTCTGGCACTTTGATTGGGTTAATTAATGTTATGATGAAAACTCCTACATATAATTAGGAGTGTTCTAACTTGGTTCAGACTATGTGATGTTTAACTTGAAAAGTAAAGTTGAATACAGTTTAACCGAAAAAATGCCACAGAATATATCTGGTCCGTAAACAATGATCTTGGATATGTTATTCCTCAACCAGCCTTCAAACTCTGCATCAATCACTCAGATTACTGTGTAGAATAGGGTCTCGTTTCCACTCAACAAATCAAATTGGTTCTTTTTAAACCATATGAACAAAAAGCCGTAATGTCACTTATGTCACACAGTTTTTGTGGGATCACAGACCGTTAACGGAGAAACATCACACGGACACACAAGAGTCAACCCTGATTAGCTTAGCAACTTAATTACGGCTTAGCAACAAAACTACTTTGCCTCTGGGGGAATGACCGTTTTTTGTTGACTAAGCTATGCCCCCCGACCACGAGCCCTATGGGGGTCTTTATTACGTGTCAGCCTCGAAAACCTAGTTTTTCACTGCATAGTAGAAGAATATCCCCAGAATGCATGTCTTCCAGATGTCTCCCAGAATGCATGTCTCCCAGATGGGCATGCCAAGGACATTAGCAATAATGCTCCTTCAGAGGAGGAAAAATTATGAAATGTCTAATAAAATAAATCGGCAATGTAAGAGGTGAATTTAGTGCCAGTCATTCCCAATTATTAGAATATTACAAGATCATGGAAAACCCAAAGCGCATAGCAATCAATAAGAATTACTGTACATTGTGCTTCAGTTCTTTTCCTCATCTTGGGGCCAAGATGCATGGGCTATGCTGTGATTGTTCGGGCTGCAAGGACCGGCTGAAGCACCCACTAGCATATTAATTACGTATAAGAGTGACTGCATTGCAAGGCTATTCCAGTTACTCACACGTGATTAAGCTGCCACTGCTGCAGTGTGGAGATTAATAAGAATAAAACATTTATTTAGTATGGAGCTTTAAAAAGGTTACTTAAAGGCACTACATGGTTAAGAAACTGTAAAGGAAGATACAATACAAACAAGGAAGAACAATAAAATGCAGGAAAAAAAGCAGAAATAAATATAAGTTTTAAATGCAGTTTTCAAGTGACAAGTGACAAAGAATGTCTGCGGTGCTGAGGGAGACAGATCCAGAGGGAGTGGGCAGCAATAGGTCTGCATAGACAGAGTGGGGGAGGAGGGGTACAGTGTTTGGCATCGGTGGATCTGAGGTTGCGGGTGGGAGCGTGTTGGTGAAGGAGGTCACTGAGGTCTAAAGTGGCTGCGTTGTGAAGGTCTTTGTCTTTGTTGTACTGGGAGCTAGTGGAGGTTATGAGGGGAGATGAGCTTTGAATGTAACGTAGTTTGTTGATGATTTCTTTGTCAGTGCTGCACAGTATGCTGCTGTGTCCGGTCGAGAGGTGATGAAGGCGGGGATGAGAGGGAGAGGCAAAAAAGAGCAATGATTTTGAAATGAAAGACGGTAGTTTTAGCAATGCTATTGAAGGAGAGGTTGTGATAAAAAGTGGTACCAAGCTTACGGATGTGTGTGGAAGCAACAGCAGTGGTGTCCTCGATGCAGAGGAAGACGTTGCGGTGGGATTTGTGATCAGAGGCCAGGATTACCATTCCTGTAAGATAACAGACTGACAACCACCTCCACGCGTACACACTGCGTTGGCGGGAAACGTGTTTGCCGAGCCTCGCAGAACAAATATTAATTTGCTTTAAGCAAATATACACAATAGTTCGTTTATTTTCGTTCGTTTTTTCGTTTAGAAGAGTGGCGAAGAGGAGGATTCCCCATGGTGGGCACACAATGCAAGAAAAATGGAGAGAAAACTTATTTATTTTTTATTTCTGGCTCTGGCTTGTTCTCCCACCCGTCTCTCCCCATTTTAAACTCCCTTTGGTGCACAGGTAAGATTGAACACCTTCTTACTGTAGGCCATCTTTGTATTGCTCTTGTTATCGCATCTAAGAAAATACAAGTGGAGGTTAACTTTTTTTGTTTTGAAAAGGATGTGGACAGTACAATATTAATGGGATAATCAAAGAAAACCCTTTTCTTTGCTTATCCCATTAATATGGTTTTCTAGCCTGGTTATCAATTAAAAATATGTTGTATAAAAGTGAAATGTAAGTGCCTACATACTGCATATTAATTTCTTCCATTCCATCTTTTAGTTTGAGTGGACAGTTATGTTCCTGCTTTAGTGTCACTGACACCGAAGCAACACAGAGGAAACAAAGAGTCGAGGAGTGGTAGAGAATTGTTTCATGCTCAAGAAGCAGAGAGATGACCCCTCCTTTCAAAAAAACATTTATGCTCTTACAATACAATACATTTTTCCTGCCTGCTATGGTTATACAGTAAGTAGCCTTAGCAAGATTATTCGGACAAACACATTTCCCAGCTGCACAACTGTTGATGTGTTTAAAAGGGAGAGAAATGCTTCCGCTTGAGAAAATCCAACCTTTTATTGAGTGTAATAATTCAAAGTATTAAAAAAACTATCTTGAGAATACAGGTTACACTAAACTAAAAATTGCTTAGCATTAAACAAGCACATCCTTCTAGATTGATTTCCATCCTTTGGCATTTCAGCTGGCTAAATGAAATGTGTATGCCCACTTTGAGCTCTGATCAACAATTTGGAAACCAACACACATTCTGTACTGATTGTTGGCAGAAAGTGCTCCAGCAGCGTTCTGTTGTCTTTTAGGTTAGTTCATCATAGAACAAATAATTTGTCTCGACGTTAAAGTCCGGCAAAAGATGGCCCAGGAGCAAAAGAGTTAATGACACTGTGAATGTAGAATAAATAGAATAATCTTGTTAACCCCAAGTAACAGCATTAGCTAATTGGAAAGCGCAATCATGTCACATGGTACAAAATGGTATGACGATATCATCTGTAAACTGCAAATGTGGTTCATGAATGATGGAAAAGGAATTTTTACAACATTATTTTCAGGTTTCGCACACATCTTTAACCTGTCACTGGCTCAGGCAGCCGTCCCCACCTACTTTAAAACCGAAACGCTCAAAAGCAGCGAGCCTCAATGACTTCCAGCCAACATCATGAAGTGCTTCGAGAGGCTGGTCCTGGCTCACCTCAAATCCTGTTTACCACCCACACTGGACCCCTACAGTCAACCTACCGCAAGAATAGGAGTAGGATGCCATCTCCACGGCACTGCACTCCTCCCTTTCTCATGTGTGAGAATGCTGTTCATTGACTTCTGTTCAGCATTCAACACCATCATCCCCTCCAAACTGATCACCAAACTCAGGGATCTGGGCATCAACACCTCCCTCAGTAACTGGATACTGGACTTCCTAACCAATAGACCCCGATCTGTCAGGCTAGACAACCACACCGCCTCAACGCTCCTCCTTAACACCGGTCCCACAGGGCTGCGTACTGAGCCCTCTCCTCTTCCTCTTCACCTACGACTGCAGACCTGTACATAGTTCCAACAACATTATCAAGTTTGCAGACGACACAAAGGTGATTGGCCTCATCAGCAACAACGATGAGTTGGCCTATCCAGCACTTGGTTGTGGGGCCATATACTGTTAGCCCTCCTCCCCTCTGGCAGGCGCTACAGGGCTGTCTGTTCCTGGACCAGCAGGTTCAGGAAAAGCTTCTTCCCTGCCGCTGTCACCTGCTGAGCTCTGCACCACGGTGATAGCCCCTAGTCCTAATTATTACGAGGACAAAATCTGTTCCCAAAGTTTTCTTCATAAAGTCATTTACTTTCGGGGTTGAACTCTCAAGAACTCCTAAAACAATCCCCTGTGTTAACGCGTCCACAGTGTCCCCCTGGTAATTAGTTTGGATGTCTTTGGATGCTGAAGCAGTCAAATAATTAACAATGACAAATAGCTTTGGTGTCCACTAGCGCTTATCCCACCTCCACAGCTGTGGGGATCTCTCTACCCTGCAACCTGTTTTTATCAGGCCACAGGAGCCAAAGCAAAACTGCTAATGCATTCATTTATAACATGACCTGGCTTGCACAGCTGCTCGGAGAGAGGAAAAGGGGGGAGGAGTTGGCCGCGTAAAGAACTGCAATGTCACCACAAGTCCACTATTAGCCCTCTTGCATCAGGTTAATGTG